GTATTGTTATCTGTACTGTCTCCCCCAGTCTTGTAAAGCGCTGTGCAAACTGTTGGTGCTATATAAATCCCGAATCATAATAATAATAATATTGCAAAGTCCTCATGTTGCAAACCAAAACCACAAAAGCGAAGGGTTAACTGCACGATGACCATCTAGTCACCGAGTTTCACCACCTGCAATGACTACTGAAATACCCAGTTTTCCAAAGTCAAATGTTCAACTATTGGTGGAACTGATCTCGAAAAGAAACGCCTCTGGTCACTGTAAGTCATTGCAACAGCTTTCTCATCCCGGTAGGTTACCCTCCTTGGTACTCCTGTGGAAGTTATTTATACCTGCAAACATGAGATCTGGAGCTCAGGCAACCAGCAAGGAGCAAACAGTGTAAACCCAGATGAGAATTTATTCTAAAGATATAGAAAAAAATTCTTCAAGAGATTGTGGGCTCATGATGATAAATACATGTTTGTATGGTGATATTCAATCACCAATTATCAATAATCAGGAACCAGCAGCAAAAAAACAGATCCCCAAGGGTTTGATTAAAATTGCTAATATGCTAATTGCTAATATAGCTCTGTGAGGAGGGCCAATGACAGTACAGATGAGGGGGAAAAGTGATTGATGCATGATGAAGTTTGTTCAGACAGGAAATAAAGGTGGGGTTAAGATAGCTGCTGCAACTTCGAATGGTTAAATTGTGGAGATGCAAGTTTACAGGGATTGAGAGTAAACTGTTTCAACACAGGAGAGGACTTGCTACAAGTGTGGGGGGAAAAAGGTAAAGCTTTAAGGAATAAGAGAGGGATATAGTATTTGAAATAGCTCATAATCTAAGAGAGTAGAACAGGATAAAATGTATTTGAATGCAGGTGAATCTCACAGAAAGTTAAAGACCTTGCAGTCACTTTGAGTACAAGCAAAGGATAAAGACAATGGAAGAACATACAGAGCATAGGGAATATTACAAACGTTGAAAAGATTATATTCAATTTGAGTATAAGACGGGGCACATATGGTGGAAGAACATACAGTATATTAGAGTATAAAGGAATGTCACAAAAGCAGAAAATTACAGTTCATAGAAGATCTCATAATCAATCCATCAGCGTATAATGCTGCAATAGAGAAGAACAATCTTTCTGGAGATGAAAATAATTCTGTTTCATTCTTTTCAGGTCACTTACAGCGCTGCACTCTAAAAGCGTTATTGCCTATTAGTAATTAAGCCAAGCATTTTCGACAGACAGAAGGGAGGTAGAATATGCATGAAATATGTAAAGAGGATGCATCGAAAGAACACTATCTTCAAAATTGATGTCGTTATATAAAAGTATGTAATTAATACATTTAAAGACAGAATTTACAATATGAGTTACTTTTTTTTTAATCTCCTATGCTTTCATTTAGATTTTTTCTAAGTGCTTATAAATATAGCTTTTATTCACGTGGTTTAAATCCTCTATTTACAAAAAAACATTTGCTTTAATAATTATTCAAGCTCCCCTGGCATAGTTATAGTTTGTATCAACCTTGCCGCTTTTAAAGCTAGAATAGCTTAGTCTGCATATTTATGAGAAGAAAAAAATATATATTACATGTAAAATAAAATCCTGGATCTATGGGGCATGGGTCTATAGAAGTCTATGGGGTTGTACAGCAAGGCCCAACAGGCAGTGAAAGGAGTTTGGCGCGGGATGTAAAGAATCCCTGCAGACCATGGACCTGGATCTCGGTAAAAATATTTATTTGCAGTGAAAGGGTGGGCTCTGAGGTGTTAGGGGAAGGGGGATGAAAGAAAAAGAGAACTGGACTAAGCTACATAATCCCCAGTTGGGGGCTTAAGAGTCTTGAAATTGTACTATTTTCTTTAAAGTAGGCAGATGAATGAGATGGATTGAACTGATTTGGGGTCTATCACCTCTTCATATTTTAGGGGAACACTTTTATTGTTAGCCTATAGCTACTTTATTATGGAACAATAAGTGGCATAATAGAAGCACCCAACCCCTCTCTCCAACGGTTCCTGGGCTACATTTCTGCTGGTAATACAGGAAAACTTTCTACATAGTAGCTCGTTTAGGTATCATTGCAATATGGAGTGATTATAATAAATCATAAATGGGTCCCCAAAGGATTATTGGTGATTTTCCCTGAACCACTCACACTCATAATTGGGAGATTATGTCTCCAAGGGTAATTAGTTCCCTAATTCTGTCAATTAAAACTCAATTTGAGGTGTAATATAATCAATTCTTGCTGCATTTTTTCATGTTATATAACAGAGTAATTGTGAAAAACTTATAAAATGTTTCTGCGCTGCTTACCTAAACAAACTATTTCTAAATAAGCTGCTACACTGAACCGGTGTGAAATAAAACACATAACAAAAATTAGAAACTACAATAAAATCTTCCATACTATAATAAAATTAAATAACCATTAACCAAAATATTGTTTAAACTGCACTAATTAAAATATTGCAAAACCATAAGTGAAAAAAATTGAAGAAATCTATTCAGTCTCTGGATTTTCATTCCATTAACTGCCAATCAGAAAATGTTCACCTTAGCTATATTCTACCATGGAAAGGATATAGCACTTAAAGTGGAACTCCGGACACATACAATTTTATAAGTGCAAAAAATGGTTACATCTGGCCAGATGTGTTAACAGGTATTTTATTTAATGTTCAACTCATAAATTTGTATATGCAGGATATCACAAATAGGGCTGTACTTCTGGCACTGCGGCTATAAAAGCTGCGGTGCTTATCCAGGGAAGCTATTTTGTCTAGGGATGCACTAATACCATTTTTCCAGAACAAGTACAGATGCTTCTCCTCAAATACTCGCCGATACCAATTACCGATACCTTTTTTTTTTTTTTTACAGACTAATGATTTTAGGACAATGGTGGAGCACCAGCGCCCAGTCATAGCTGCAACCTCTGCGACCCTGGTAGTTCTGCCAGTGACTCCAAGCTGTAGATTGACTCCAAATCCCAGCAATACATTATACAGCAATGCAAAAAGGCACCAGCAATAGGGGACTACAAATCCCAACAATCCATTATACAGTAATGCAAAAAGGCACCAGCGATAGAGGAATACAAAGCACTAAAAGGCCCAGTATCAGCAGCGATACCGATACTAGTATCGATGCATCCATAATTGTGTCATTTATCCTGACCTCTTCTCCACTTTCAACATTCTCTGGAATACAAGGTGTTCTGTGAATGGACAAGGGGAGAAGAAGTGCAGATAAATGACTCGACCGCTTCCCTGTATGAGAGCTGTAGCTGTAGAACTGACAGTCCAGCATTAGCTGTAGTATCCATCATATACAAATTTATGAATTCCACAGTTAATAGAAGTGATCAGCACTGTTAAGGCACTTGCCCAGAGGTACCTTTTTTACACTCAGAGCCTATCGTCAGTTAAAAAAAAAATAAAACTCCCCTTGCAGTGGGGTTACCCAAGCACTGCAAGGGTCAAGTGCACATTTTTTTCTAAGGAGCCTTTTGTGAAGCACTGTTATTTACCTGATTCCCACTACCTCTGCTTCCAAGACTGGTGCCCACAGCCTCTTCCCCCTTACACTCTGACAGTGCCTGCTGACGTCATCACATCTAATATAGGGCCCATAACCCAATGGGAAGCAGGTAAGTAAAAAAACTTTCTAACAATACCCCTAGACATGAACTAGCAGTAAAACCTTGCAGTGCAGGGGTAGCCCCACTGCAATGGGAGTTTCTGTTGTTTTTTTTTAGGGATGCACCGATATATCAGCCGCTGAAACATAACGGCCGAAAATTGCACTTTTGGGCTAAATGCCAAAAGTGCCATTTTCCTGCCGATACATCGGCGCATCCCAGGTTTCTCTCCTCACCGCTGGGCGCTGCTCCGTGTCCCAGCGGGAAGGAGATAAAGTGCCAGCCGAGCGCTGTGAGCGGCCGGAGTCTCTCCTCCCACACCGCTCGGCCGCCTATCACAGTGCGGCAGGACGGTGTGGGGGAGGAGACAGCGCTGTCACAGGAGGCTGGGCTCTCCTCTCGCACCGTTCACTCAGCCTCCTGTGACACGGTGTGTCAGAGAGGAGAGCAGGCTACATACACTCAGCGATCAGTGATTGCTGAATGCTTGTAAATAATTGAGGACATGGTATGCCGGCTATATCCTCAAATATGAATGAATGATAGAGATCTATATCCATTTCAGTTTCGGTTTTTAAATTTCTATTTCGGTGCACCTCTAGTTTTTTTACCCTGAGATTGGCTTTAGACATTTCTAAAGTTGTCTGTCACTGGAGTTCCACTTTAATTAGGAAATGTAGCTCCGATCCTCTTCAGCTCCTTTTGATTGTAATATGGACAATAAACGTTTCAGCACTGGTCAGTGGAACAGCTCAAAGAAAGGAAGACAAATCACCTCCACATAGTGTAACTCTTCTATTCAACAAACACAAATGCATGAATCAAACCACTGAGTACTGCAGTATGACAAGGAAGGTGTGGCCTGCACCGGGTGACAGCATTGGAGGGGGTAACTGTCAGTCATTTTGGTGTCACCCCCTCTGAAAAGTCAGACACTCGGTCATGGACCAAGAGCCCAATCGTTGCATGAGTGAGGAGGGGACCCGGCGGAATACCTTATCCTGCCAGGTAAACGTCCCTTCCTCTTTTTGCCAGCATCCACCACTAAGATGTCCACCTGCAGGTAAGCACACGCGACATCATTACACGCAATGATGTCCAAGCTGGGTGTCACCCAGCAGCCGCTCCGGGTGACACCACGCTTGGAGATGCCCCTGCATACTTGAATGCATTTTTAAGGTTTAACTCCTGAGTTTAGTGTCACTTTAAGCTTATAGAAATGTTATCTCCTAAATGAAGACCTTTTTCCCAATATACTATGTAGTATTCAAAAGTATGAAATAGCATTGTTCATATATTCCTGTCAGATCAATGACATTAGCATTATGATAGCCATCACTTACCTGTACTTCATCCCACTGAAGAGTTGTCAGCTTCTGTCCCATACGTGGTCTCCATGTTGGAAGTGCCATTACAGCTGGAGATTGAGGAACTTCTATTGTGGGGTCTAAGGTGGTCTGCTGAAATTCTGGCATTTCGGTGATAGTGGTCTCTGCGGTGTCCAGAAGTAGAGCGTCACAGTTCACCCCTGTAAACCCATCTTTGCAGATACACAAGTAACCATCCCCGTGGACACTGCAGTTTCCATGGATACAAGGATTCTCTTCACATGGGTCTGTGACAAACTAGAAGAAAAAATCCATCAAGCACATGTTACCAATAAATTTATATTTGCTCCAAATATACTCAACAGACGCTCTTCATCTTGAAACATCTGTCTGAGAGTTTTTAGCTTGCAGTATTATTTGCATCCTCAGCATACTACGTCACCATAAAAATACTCTCTGAAGATTTAGTTAACTGGAAAATGTAGAACTAACTCAATTTAAGTAATGTATGGCCAGGATATTAGATGTAACTGCACTCTAACCATATCTGTGAACATATGTAAACTTTCTATTACTAATTCATATACAATACCAGTTCTGTTGCCTCCCCCCTTGATCCTGAAGATCATCTATGCCATTGCACATCTACGTACTTCATGTCTGACCATGCATTATTAGATCAATGTATAATTAAAGTAAAACATTAGCCGAAACTGTTTTCTAGTAGTGGATATAACAGGGGAGCATTAGAAACTCTGACAGGCTTTTATTACTGCAAGTATAAGAATAGAAACATCAAACCAGCTGCTGATGAGCCTTGTGCATACTAACAATAGAAGAAATACTTCCAAATCAAGTTGTTCATTGTTTTCCATTGTAAGCCCTGAGGAAGGTGGTGTCTGTGGGCCCCAGAACATTCTTTCTGACATTTACTGTAATTAAAGTATATCTGGACGATTAAGGAGTGGTTTGCCTCTTCAGTTCCTATATTTGCTGTTTTTGTACTACAAACCAAGGAAACTGTGGAGATCCTCTGGGATGTTAAAGTTGCCAACCTGGTAACCAGATTACCTTTGCCAGTGAATTGTAACACCAATAGGATAATTGCATGGGTCTAGCACCATCTTTTCACTTCCCCTAGTTTTTTTTATTACTGTCTGTGTCTCTGTTCTGGAGATTCAACTTTTCTTTTTGTCCTGGTGACCATTATCTTCATGGCATAAAGTGAGGGTAAATCAAAGGTTGACCTTGATGGACCTGTGTCTTTATTCAACCTCAAGAACCTTCAGCCACCAAAACAAGACATGAAGATACATTTTTCAATATGGACAACTGTTTGCTGCACCATTTTGGGGAGATTTTCACTACGTCCCGTGTGCCTGAGGGTAATCTCACCAGAATGGACACATACAGCAATTAAAAACTGCAGAGGGTGGTGTCTCTCTGATGGCAGCACCTGTAGAGCTCACCAGCACCCACCTCACTGCCCCCCACCCCAGTAGCAAAAAGGCTAGGGACACCACCGTGCCACAGCACTATTGTAGTGCTAATTTCTTAATAAGAATCAAATTAAACTAGTTGAAACCTTTAAACTTTAATCACCCCAGCCAACAATGGCAAACAACCCCCTAGGCACTCAGTACTTACATATAAATATGGCAAAACCTTAGAACAAGATGAATTGTTTAGAATCTCTGTTCAGAGAATAGTGCCACCACTGCCATGAAAACTATGCAGATATCATTGGCCCCTATAGAGTTTCAACTATTAAAGAGAACCTCTAAATAAAATATATGCTTTCCAATCTGCTGTATTTTTGAAGATCGCTCAGAGTGTTAGAAGAATTGCAGGGAATGTCCTCTGAGGAACACTTGTACTCAATGAAAATCTGCCTGCAATGATAGGAAAAGGGAAGAGCAATGCTGAAAATGGGTGAGAGGATTTCTCAAATAAATGGAAGCTCCTGGCAGAGAAAGAGGCAGATATGAAAAAGGTTTGTCATTCGGTGAATGTGAGCACCCATTCCCTCCCCGAACACCAATATATGTCCTCTTCCTAATGACTAACATAAATTGTGCCACCATTCCCCCTCCAGATGGAGATCCCAAAGGAGTTTTTTACTTGGCTAAAACTAATCGACTCAATCTTTTCCTTTCCCCTTCCTGCACAGGCATGAGTCTTGTTGAATATTATTCCTCCCCTTCAGATCTTTCTATTTCTGAAGCTGTGAGGCAGTTTAGATAGGGAAAGTGCTTTCTGAGGAGCATGTATTGGAGGCACTTATGAATGCTATTGGAGTTACCTACAACAGAAGGTTCTGAAATGATCATTTAACCTGTGGTGCTCCTCTAACTTTTTAAAGAACAACTTCAAACCAGCAAACTGCTAACATTGTCCAGGAAGATGTGAAAAATAAAGCTTGATCAATTTGTTTTGGTCAGAGTTTTGTTCCAGTGTCCCCGAAATTAAGGACATAATTAAAAACAAATGTAATACATCTCTGCAATGCATGCACAGTTTCCAATGTTTTATCACTTTTAAAATTCAGAAAATATCTGTTGATCTGCAACAGACTCCTAACTTCCTGTTCGGGCTGACAGCAAGGTGCCTTTGCTGCACTGCCAGCTGGACTGCAGAACTATGCTTATTCCTTACCCGTCTTTTTCTTTCTTCACATGCATATATTCGTACCTTACGCAGCAAAACATTGCTGCTGCCTCGACTCCCATGACATTACCAACACTGTGTAGGGAAAGGCCTTTAGGGAGATGTAGCTCGGGGGGTGTACTTATGTCAATAGAAAATGAGCTTACAGCAGCTGCTCATACAAGCCTGGTGATGATGGCATGGGTAGTAAGAACAGTTGTTCCTCTTCTTGTTATAGGAACAAGGTAAAATATAAAAATAATGAAAGAACATGCTCTAGAGGGGAACAGGGAGGTTTGGGGGGTAAATTTGGGTAATGCGTGGACATTTCCTTTTAACCTAGTGTAGCTGTATCAGCATTCCCCAGGATGACACTGCAGCCTCCTGTCCTTATGAATTCTGTGCAATCTCCCACTCATTCTCCAATATTCTTTATAGCTAGGTGCAGATGAGGGATATCAGGCAGAAGATTAGCCACTCAGTGGTTGGGATGTGCCTCTGAGTCAAATTAAAGGCAATTTTTCATGTTTGACTGAAGGTCTATTTTCTTTCTCTGTCTTTTTTTTAGGGGGTCTCATATGTAGCTATTTGTCCTTTATGCTTGTAAACTGACATAATTGCTGGTACAGTTTGTTAATTACATTATTCTATAGCTAAAAGCTTTTTACCTCATTGGTGGTCTTGACATCATATTCCATGTCAAGAAGAGGTTTACAGAAATTTCCAAATCCTTACTGTTGACATAATGGGTGCTGCAGTCTGGTTTATTTTGCCAGTGGATATAAATCAAGGAAAACCCTCTTTGCCAAATGCTTTATTCCACAAGTAGCTGTCATAGAGAAATCCTTATAGAGAGCTCCCTCTTGAGCCCAATGGATTTAGGACTACATTGTTTGGGTTTATGAAAACACTCCGAGGTGCAGAAAAACACAATCTCCAGAGAATATATTGCTAAGGATCTGCCTAAGGAAATGTCTAAATTAAATCAGGATTTAGTAAAGCTTCTATGTCAAAAAACCAAAAACCAAATGTGAATTCAGTATTTTATGTGATGATCCTGAGTGCTAAGCTGGTTATTTTCCATTTGGAAAGCTCACGTGGCTTTCTTCCTTGGAATAGCACAGTTGTATCTGCGAGGAACAGCTGGTAGATTAATTTGTGTTTCATCTATGACAGTGCTTTGTGCAAGTGTCGGGGGAGCGAAAGACCAGGAACAACGTTATACTGAGACCATATTTTATTGTTTCCTTAGTTGCAAGCAAAAAAAAAGATCACATTATTTCAGTATTGTACCATAATTACCTAGTGTTGTATGTAGAATTTATTGAGGGTAGGGGAAAAAATGTTCAACGTCTTGTAGGTTTTGTACTCATTCACATGACATGTCACATTACACAGAGATCTTCAAAAGAGACGTTTGGAGTAGAAGACTTTCTAACTTGCTATCTCCTACTCTGACTGCCTTTAAACAATCCCTGAAGACTCATCTCTTAATTGAAGCCTATCCCTCCACAAGCTACCCACTGAACTATCACTTTCTCAGTAAATTCGTCCAAACACAGCTACCTCTTGTATCACTTCTCCCTCCCTTGTCGATTGTAAGCTCTCATGGGTAGGGCCCTCCTTACCATCTTGTCTTGATTTGTATTGTAACTGTAATGTCTTCCTTATATTGTAAAGTGCTGTGCAAATTGTTGGCGCTATAGAAATCCTGTGTAGTACTAATAATACTTTGCCAAGAGCCTTAAAGCGATATTACAGTCAAAATGTTTTTAAGCTATTTCAAATGTTGATTAAATCACAATGGATGTTGCTCCATGTTGTTTAAAAGTTTAGTTTCCTGCAGAATCAGCTGTTTTCCTGAGCACTGGCCCTGATATCCTCTTTTTGGGTGGCTCCTTTCCCTTCCAGGGTCCTATGGAGTCACCCTTGTGTGTGCTAGTATGCTGTGTGTGTCTCCATAAACACACAGTCACAGAAAGGCAGACCACTTTCCTGCTCACTGTTGCCCCCTCGTCCTTTCTTCAGGCCAGTAAATTGACAGCTGCTGGAGATTGTCCTCTCCCTATAATCTTGTGCTGGACAGGAAGTTCAGAGAAGTGGAGCTCATAGAGTTTTATAACAACTCTGCAGATCTAATTTTGGAACTGATGGTCATAATTGGTGCCATGTGAATCTCTGTGTATGTGGTCCTACTGCGGAATGAAGATATAAAAGCCATCTCAATCCTTTCTGTAGGGGGTGTTTAAACATTTGCCTACTGTGTCTAAAATGTATTTGCATAGATCAACTTGGCAGGGGTAAAAAAAAGTCTGATAACAATGTAGGGAGCTGTCCATCATTTCCTCTCTGTAGTATGACATGAGTGTGTTAATCATTTCCTCTCTGTAGTATGACATGAGTGTGTCCATCATTTCCTCTCTGTAGTATGACATCAGTTTATTCATCATTTCCTCTCTGTAGTATGACATCAGTTTATTCATCATTTCCTCTCTGTAGTATGACATCAGTGTGTTCATCATTTCCTCTCTGTAGTATGACATCAGTGTGTTCATCATTTCCTCTCTGTAGTATGACATCAGTGTGCCCATCATTTCCTCTCTGTAGTATGACATCAGTGTGTTCATCATTTCCTCTCTGTAGTATGACAT